CATTCTATTTACTTGTAAATTTAAAACACGTAGAAACTTTTTTGTACTGTCATATCTGAAAATGACAATTAACATTTGACATTAGCGAAGAGTATTTTTTCTTGTAATGCAATTCGGTACTTTCGGCGCTTAATGCAGGTAGCTATTACCGATGACTGAGTTTATTACAAACACTGGATTACTATTAAATAAATGTTTAATTTGATATCGACGTATCATCGCAGTGGTTATAACATGAAATGATATTGGTTTAATTATTATTTATTGTGTGCAATTGCTAACCGAACACACATTTTAGTGGGATTGATGGAATTTTGAACAGAAAAGTGTGTGTTCCCTTTTCGCACTCCTGGATAAATCTCGGAATTTACACAGACGAATAGGTAACAACAGTAATATTCAAGACTATATTTTTTTGTAGTGTAAATGTAATTTCTTTGTTATAAATTTATGAGTTTGTTTGCAAGGAATATCAGCTTGCAAAGATAAGTTCGTTAATAATTTAGTGGGGTCTGGTCCTAACCTTTCCCACGTCTTCCACAAGTTTGTCACTAATATTGAATCTTATAGTGACTTGCTTTTGTTCACGCTTCCGGTTACCACAATTATGTTGGCAATATGTCTACAGACTGAATTAAATATGTTTCCAGAAAGTTTTCACGTGTAAACTCCAGAGTGTTCTACTTTCCAGACATGAAGAAACATTAGAGAACAATTCTACTAATAAATGTACCATCAAAATATTGTACATTTTTTAAGCATTCGAAAGAAATTGATCAAATTTTAATTGTTAAAATGTTAAAAAACACGACATAACATTTCCTTCATTAATTAATCTAAAGGAAAATTAATGTTGTTTTAGTCATATTTTCTCATTAGTTGCTTTTACTGAATAGTGGTGCTCTGTTCTATTCCGATAATGAAAATTTACATTAGACTTGATGAAAATGTTTCAGTGGAAACAATGGAATTTCTATAAACGAATTAATCATCAAATACGCACATAAAAGCGATCCTGTCCATACCGTTTGAATACATACGCTCACCTCCCTATTGATGAAAAATAAATTAAATTTTTTAGCGTAACGAAGAATTTAAAGTAATCTACAATTAAGTTTAACGTTTTCATGCTTGATTAACATTGATTGCAAGGTCCTTTTACCAACAAGAATACATTTAATTCTTCATTTCTCTACATTTTATATTAATTGTAATTTTAACAAGCATACCAATTATTTCCAGGTATTTTGTATAATGCCCTTATTACCCAAGTAATATTTTGAGCATAAATATTTTTGACTGAGATTCTAACGATAAATTAAACACAATTAGCCATACAAGTTGACAACAGAGAAATCCAATTAATCTGCAGGAATTTAAATTAACGAGCGGTATCTTCCAAATAACATCAAAGTTACATTCTCGCAATAAATTTTTCACTTTCGATTCAATTAACTCAAATTAGTTCGTAAAGCAACCCAAATGAGCCAGCTAGAGCAAAATTAAATTGTACGTACTTCAGCTATAAAAATAAATTTATTTTTATTTCACGCCACATTGTCGTTGTGCTTACTCTTTCATGTTTCCCGCGTTTTGTTGTCCTGTAATGGTTGCAATTTAATTAATTTTATCGCTCATGTAGCATGTAAACACCGTAAATTTTACGATTCCTTTAAAGTGATAATTTGTATTTTGTGTTTACTTGAATTTTTTTGTAAACACATAGAGTGCTTCAGCGACAATAATTTACGCCAAATCCTGCTTAACGGTGTGGAGCTTTAATGCTGGAACTGATTAAAATTTTATTGCTGCCGTGACACACAAAAATTCATTTGATCTCGTCGCTTTGACAATATTGTGCTGTAACTGTAAAACGATTCTTGTCGAAAGTATTAAAATTTATGTGTGTACGAAAAAGAAGATGGTAGTGGTGGCAACTTCCTTTGTAATAAAGTGTTGTTAGAATCCGAGGCTTTCATTAATTAGCTCTTGGGCTATGAGTTATTAAACAGAGTTCGGGAACTTCGGAAGTTCAAACTGCACTTTATCCTACTTGTCTACAACGAACTACATTTTCCGACGGTTATAAAAAACTTTTATTGGGGCTGAAATCGCGCAATTCGTTCCTTAATCGTCCTAATAAATTCCTGAGCGTTGTAACAGTTTTATTGAGATGTTGTTAGATTGATGATCTTGTAGGTGGCCAATAAGGGAAACGATGCCGGAGTTACTATCAGCGGTTAAAGTCAAATTAAATTTCAGCAGAATGATCAAAGAACGGGTATAAACTGACGTATCTGGTGTATCTGCCACGAAGTTGCCACTCACAAACTTTTATTCAATACGGAAGTAACTTTTGTTCAATACGGAAATAACTTATTCGTTGCAGGTATTTTAAAATCTATAAAGAGAAATAGAGGGTGCCCCTTCCAAGTTTGGATATGAAGTATTAATATGGGGAACACTTTAAAGCCAGTGTATTTTTTTTTCAAATCATTACATCGCGCCTATTCACCATACAACGACTTTAAAAATCGTATTTTAAAATTAGCGCTCGAGCCGATTTGTCGCGAAACGTTTCATCTGAGTTCGACGATCGCGTCTTTGGATTACCCATGGAAAATCGAAATGTCAAAGTGAATTTAGAAATTATTCCGCGATCCTCACTCAGAAATCACGAACAACTCAAATTAGATTATTTATCTAGTGTGATGATTATGTAGAATGAATTAATCGCAATAAATGTAAAAATTGATCCATTTGTAGTGCTTAGTGTAGCACATGAAACCCTCCACAAACCTCCTGGAGATGAAGCCTTTCGAGCAGATCGTCTTCCTCAACACCTCCATCGGCAGCATTGTGACACGTGGTGGGGACACGTCAGGCTAGGGATTTACTCGAGGCTGGCTCTTCAGTAACCACTGAACAACTCAAATTGAATTATTTTATCGAGGGTGAGGTTTATTGTAGGACAATTTAAACGCAATAATAGGTGAAAAAGCGAGGGTCTGCTTGTTTCTCAGTAGTTAATTTAATGATAATCAGTAAGTATAACTTTCATGACAATATTGTAAGATGCATCCACGTACACTTTTGTTCATTTTTTCAGCTCGCGAAAACGTATTTGCATGCTTAAATATGATTTGATACATATTTTTTTTCAAATCACAAAAAATTTGAATTCAGTTGATTTTACATCCGTTAAGCAGGAATGGAATATTAGCTCTCATCTTGCACATTTGAAAATATTTTTCTCTATCACCAATGTTTTTTGTTATTCAGAAACCATTTGTATTATTGTTTTATTTGTCTACTATGTTAATAACAACAAAAATAAAAATAATTTTTCACAAAACAACGTGTTGTTCGTTTATCTTACGGAAGGAATTCAATTTGAGTTGTTTAGTAATTACTGAGTAAGGTAGCGCGAGTAAATTCCTGGTTTAACCAACACCCAGGACGCTGGCGATGGAGGTAGGTGATGAGGAAGATGAGCTGCTCAAAAGGCTTCATCTCAGGAGTTTCGTGGAGGGATTCATTTGCTGCAACCAACACTAATAAATGGATCAATTTGTGCATTTATTCCGTTTAAGTTATATATAATTCAGCTCTGCGGGCCTTAAAGGCCCTGGGCTTTTTTTACAATAATTTTCCATTTGTTCCTGTCGGCTACTTTGGATCTCCAATCTTCAATGCCTAAGTTTTGAAGATCTTTTCGAACATCTTCAGTTTTGGCCTTCCTCTCTTTTTCTTTCCTCCTTTTAGGCGGTCTAATACTTTCCTAATTGTCCTTTCCTCTGGTGCTCTTCCGACGTGGCCTAGCCATCTTAGTCTCTGTGCTCTGATTATCTTCGTGATTGTTGGTTCTCCGTATATTTCCTCGATCTCTCGATTTGTTCTTCTTCTCTATTGGTCTAGTTCTTTTATACCTCCATATATCTTTCGTACTATCTTGCGTTCCCATACTTCCAACTTCTGTTCCTTTTCGTTCGTTAGCGTCCATGTTTCACTAGCGTACAGGACTGTAGGTCTTACTATTGTCTTATATACTTGTTTCTTTGTTCGTCGTGTTACATACTTACTCCTCAGAAATCTGTTTAATCTTTCTACACTCTTTTTTTGCTTTCGCGATCCGTTCTTCTATCTCTTCGTTCATTTCGTTTTTGTTTGTAATTACTACTCCTAGATATTTGGACCTATTTACTTCTTCGAATTCGTATGTTGTTCCTTCTTCTGTAGTTACTTTCAGTGGTTTTGCTGGGGTTTGTTTAGTTTCCATCTTCATAAACTTCGTTTTCTCTTGGTTGATTGCTAAACCCATTCGTTTCGCTTCTCTGATTAGATTTTTTGTCATTTTCTTCATTTCTGCTTCTCTTCTCGTTATACATGTCACGTCATCTGCAAAGGCTATATTTTGGTGTCTTTTCGTATATCGTGCTCGTTCTGTGGATGCCACTTCTCCTTATTATTGCTTCGAGTACTAGATTGAACAGGGTAGTTGATATTGGATCTCCTTGCCAGAGTCCTGTTCTTGCTTGGAATGGTTCTGACAACAGACCATTTATCCTAACTCTGTTTCTGGTGCTCTGTAGGGTCATCTTTGTCAGTTTTATTAGTTTTCTTGGGACTCCCAGTTCTTGCATGGCTTCTAGCAGTTCTTTCCTGTTAACCGTGTCATAGGCTTTTTTAAAGCAGAACAGCAGATATAAATTGATTCCCTGTTCGTAATGTACTTCTTATAGTTGCTTCAATATAAATATCTGGTCTACAGTAGATCTATTTTTCCTAAACCCTGCTTGATATTCTCCTACTATTTTTTCCATATGCTGCTTTAGTCTTCGGTTGATGCAAGTGGCCATTACCTTATACGTTACGTCTAGCAGCGTTATTCCGAGATAATTTTCGCATTTCGTAATATCTCCTTTTTTAAATATCGGGAAAAGTACTACTTCACTCCATTGTTCTGGCATTTTTCCTTCCTTCCAACATTCTAGCACTAGTCAATGTATCTCTGATGCTACTGCTTCTCCTCCGTACTTTAGCATCTCGCCCTTTATTCCGTTTCTACCAGGACTTTTGTTGTTTTTCATCTGCATTAGTGTTTCTCTGATCTCTCCTTCGTTAATTTCTATTGTTTCATCTGGGTCATCCGAGTCGTTCACTCTTTCGTTCGTATCTTGCTGTGTATCCTGTTCGTTTAGCAGTTCTTCAAAGTATTCTGCCCATCGTTTTATTCTTGCTTCTTCGTCTTCTATCAGGTTGCCGTCCTTGTCTTTACAATATATTACTCGTGGTTGATAGCCTCTTTTCTCTTTTTTCACGTCCTGGTAGAAGTTCCTTATTTCATTCTTGTTGAAGTTTTCTTCTATCTGTCGTATTTGTTCTTCCATTTTTGCTCGTTTCTTATTTCTGCATATCTTCTTGTACTCTTTCCTTTTTTCTTGGTAATCTTTTTGGTTCTTCTCATATTTTGATTTTAGATATTTCTGTCTGGCTGACTTCCCCGCTTCTATTGCTTTTCTACATTCCTCGTCAAACCATTCGTTTCTATTTTTGTTGTATTTTTTGACGAACCCTAGTACTTCTTCCGAGGTCTTCCATATGTTCTCTTGTAGTTCTTCCCACCTCTCTTCTATAGGTATGTCTTGCTCTGTTGATCTTATTCTCTCATTCATCTTTTGTTCATATTCCTGTTGTACTTCAGCTTTCTTAAGTTTGTTTACATTTATATCACGTTGTGTCTTCTTTCCTTCTTTTTTCTTCGGTATTTCTTGTTTGAGGTCTGCTCTTACTAGAAAGTGGTCTGAATTCGCTTCTGCTCCCCTGTAGCTTCTTAATCTGGTTATTAGTTGGGCATCTCTCCTTTCTACCAGTATATGGTCTATTTGGTTGACCGTTTTTCCGTCAGGCGACATCCATGTGCCTTTGTAGATCTCTTTCTGCGCAAAGAAGGTGCTTTTGACTACCATTTTGTTTTCTTCTGCAAACTCTCTCAATTTTTCTCCATTTTGATTCGTTTTTTGGTGTTTGCTTTCTTTCCCGATTGTTGGCCTGTAGCAATTCTCTTTACCTATCATTGCGTTGGCGACTCCTATAACGATTTTAATGTCATGCTTTGGTATTTTCACATATTCTCTTTCTAGTTCTTCGTAATATTCTGTTTTTACTTCTAGATCTTTCTCTTCAGTCGGTGCATGTATATTTAGTAGGCTTATTTTCCTGTACTTACTTCTCAATCTTATATAGCTCATTCTTTCTGAGATTGGTTTGAACGTACTTACTGCTCCTTTCAGGCTCTTCTTCACCATGAATGCTGTTCCTAGTTCTCTGTTGTCAATTCCGCTATTAAATAATATGTAGTTGTCTATTTCAGTGATGAATTTGCCTTTTTGTTTCGTCTCTTGTATAGCTGCTACATCTATATTATACCTTTGTAATTCTTGAACTATTTGTTTGAGTTTTCCTTCGCTATATGTTCCTCGAACATTCCATGTTCCTATTCTAATTTTCGGGTTTTTCTTTCTCTTCGTAATTCCTATCGGGTCATCCATGAGCTTTGCATACGTCGTCATTGTTTTCCGGTGTGTGGTTTCTTCCTCTGTTAGTTTTTTGGATTTTCTTTGGGGTGCGACGGTGCTTTCACTAATTTGTCTAATTTAGTGTCCCAATGCCAGACTTCTCCTGCCCATATCATCTTTTTGTACCCTACTTTTGCCTCGACTCCTTTCTCTTTTTCTGCTGCTGCTATTCCTCTTATTTTCTTCTGTATCTCGCTCTCTTGTTTGGTGTAATCGCCTTCAATAAACGTTTTTGATCCTTTTAATTTGTTCTTCTGTTCCATGATTGCTCTTTTTGTGTCCCAGTTCTCTATCTTTGCTACTACTATGTCGTATTTTTCGCTGACTAATCTTGCGTCTTGTATCTTAGTTTGGATTCCTACCTTATTTTTTAGGAGTTCTTCAACCTCTGCTGTTATTTCGCTTCCTTGTAGTTTCCCTCCTTTGATTACAATGTTGTTTCTCCTTTCTGCTTTTTCCAGTTTTTCTAAGTGTTGCTCCACTCTTTCTAATCTTTCGGTCAGTCTTTAGTTTTCTTCTCTTAGTGTTGTTACTTCTGTTTGGTATGCTCTTTGGTTTCTTTTCATTTCTGCGATTTCCTCCATTAACGTTTTAAACATATTCTTTACTTCGTCCATGTCTCTTGCTTGTACCCTCTTCTGCTTCCTCTGTACTCTTTGACCTTCCGGTGATGGTGAAAAGGAGGTTTCTCTTTTTCGTTTCTGGTTGTCTTGTTCTTCTATTGCTGGTTTGTGCCCTTTTTCCAGTTCAGGATTCCCGTTTTGCATTCCCTGGCCGACTTTCTTGCTTCCTGTGTATCTAGTACGTTCCTGTGTTGTTTACTTCGTGCCGCGATAAGAACTGTCACCCAGACTATCTCTTCGGAGGTTAGGTTCTTTTGATTCCACACTTTCCCGAATAATTTAATAAGGCTATCAAGAACAGATCTCTGAAGCATCGCATTTTGCAAATTTTTTCTATTTGATAAGGTGTTGGCAATTCATTCAGAAAAAGTAAAATTTTATACAAACTTGAATACGAAATGAAGGATGTTTCCGTAAGATCCCAAGCAGTGACTCAATCGAGAATTTTTTGTGGTCAGGTCATATCATAAGCTTTTTCAATATCAAACAACATAACTAGTACTTTGTGAGTCTCTAGTTCTAAAACTACAACATTCGTTTGAGTCGATCCAGATTATAACTATAGGAAATACTTGTTATAGAGATGGATCTATACGAGTTCACATCATGTTTAGATTTGTGAGATTTCAGGATAGGCAAGACGATTGCTTCTGATCAGAGTTTAGGAAATTGATATTGATTGTGGATACTATTGAATAATTAAAGGAGGAGGAGCAGAATCCTTACAGTTTAATGATGCAGAACCATCAGTGTAAGTTAATCGGATAGTCTGAGTCTATTGGTATAGAAAATGGAAGGTTACTGGACGTCCTTTCACATGCGTCAGCAAAAATTTCAGCTATATCTTCTTTATTGGATACAATGACGTTGGAATGGATCGTGTACCTACTTTTTCATTTCTTCTAAATACAAAAGTCCAACTTCTTGCGACAGATGCCACAATAAAGTTGATGGAATATTTTCCATGCGTTCTTCAACATCTTCTATGGCTTCATTGATAGGCAATGTTGGTCGTTCAGCACCTCCACTGATCTAAATAATTATTAGTCAACACATGGTATTATTTATTAGCCATAGAGGATATATCTGAAAATAAATACAATTTCTTTAAAAAAATAACGAACAAACTTCTTTTGATGATTGCCCGACACTGGATTGGAAAACAAAATGTTACGTCGCTTGCAGAATCTTCTACTTGAAATAATAATAATAATAAAGAGTTATTATCCAACGAACTTTTGTCCAATTACAGGATAATTACAAAAAAAAAACTTCTAAATCTAAATATACTATCAAACTTAACTACGGAATTCTTATAGCACTAAGCTTACGAGCAAACTTGACAATACAATACATATCAAATGCCGAAAACTTCTTTAAGGATATTACCTAATTTATCAAAAAATAAGTCATTGTTGCCATATTTGTTGTAGACATAACATATAAAATATAACGGAGACTTTTTGGCATATTTGTTTCTACATTTAGGCAGATGAAATGTATCCCTATTTCTAAGAAATCTTTGCGGAATACGAAAATTTAACATACTGACAATATCAACAACATCAACTAAATTATTCACAATGTTATACAAAAATTTTACTGCAGCAACTTCTCTTCTCGCTTCTAGAGCTTTCAAGCCAAATCTCTGTAGCATTAACTCCTCAGGATATATTTTCTTGGAGGGTAAACCTTGTCGCACTTGTACATCAGGTACTTAAGAAATCGCCTTTGCTGGTTCTCAATCAATAATTTATGACACTGATCAATCGGGGACCATACAATCGAGCAATATTCTAAAACAGAACGTGCATAGGAGATAAATAACTTTGTGGTACATTAAAGAGTTTAGCATTACGTATAATGAACCCGGTAGTCGTACATGCTTTGACTGTTATATGGTTGTAATGGTCTTGAAATTTAAATTTAATTTTAATATCTTTCTTATCGACGTTATAACTATTAGTGATGGTGTACTTTTTGTTAGAATAAGTAATAATGCTACATTTCTCGTAAGATATCTTAAGCCTACTATTCTGTGATCATTCAGAGAAATTTATTAAATCTTGTTGTAGAGCTTTGGTGTCTTGAGCGTTTACTATTTCTCTAAATATTTTAACGTCGTCAGCATAAAGTAGTATTTTGCTTTCAACAAAGTTAGGCAAATCGTTAATAAATAAAACAAACAGTAATGGACCAAGAATGGATCCCTGTGGTACGCCAGAAGTGGCTCGATACAAGACAGACTCAAAACCTTCATAGGCAACAAACTGGGTTCGACCAAGTAAGTAGCTCTTGAGAAGACTGATAAAATTACCAACAAATCCCAGAGCTTGAAGTTTATGCAACAAAATGTAGTGATGAATTGAGTCAAAAGCTCGTTGAAAATCTAGGTAAATTACATCTAACTGACTACTTTTATTCAAAATATCACTAGAGAGAAGAGTACTAAATTCGTCAAAGTTGACCGACCTTTGACAAAACCATGTTGCTGTGTAGAAATACTAGTCCGAGTCTGGTTGTATATTTTCAAAAAGCTTTGAAAAATTAGATAATATAGAGATCGGTCTATAATTAGACACATCAGTGGCTTCACATTTTTTATATACCGGTGTAACATGGGCAATTTTCCAAAGATCTGGATATTTACCACTCTCAATACAAGTGTTAAACAAATGAGATAAAGGTTCCGCAAAAATAGTGGCACAATCTTTAATAATGAAAGCTGGAATACTATCAACACCGGAAGTAAATTTATTTTTAAGCTTTTTGCACGCAGAAATAACATCTTTGGTCCTGACAGGTGTCAGAATTATACTTAGGGAGTTAATATCATAATGTGTAGGTGGACTAAAGGAAGATTTCGAATCTGAAAATGCACTAGAAAAAAATTGGGCGAATGCATTGAGCACATCGACAGGTTTGGAATACATAACACCGTTATAAAATACTTCACCGGGTATCCGACTAGCACCTCTCTTAGATTTAACGAACACCCAAAATTTAGAGGGATCAGAAGAAATCTGACTTTGTATCAGCTGAATAGGCGCTTTATAACAATTCGAAATCATTTGTTTCGATAAAACTCTTAAGGTACTAAACTCCCTATAATCAGCTTCAGAATGACTCTTCTTGTAATTCTTGTATGCTATAAATTTAGCTCGCAATAATTTAATTAATTCAGAAGAATACCAAGGCGGATAACGCCTTGAACAATGACGGGATTTTAAGGGAACATGACAGACAAATATATTTCTGAGTATGGAATAAAATAAGTCACACATTACATTGACATTATTAGTGATAAGCAACGAATCCCAATTTATTTCACAAAGGTGCTGGTAAAGATTAATGTAATCACCCTTTTTGTAATTGAACTCGCGTGACAACACATTTTTTTTTAATACTTTTTGACGAAAGCTATTGATTGGGGTAAAGTGAATATTCAGTGGTGGGATGATAAGAATCAATACGTACTAAGGGCAAAAAGTCTTCAGTTCGTAATCTTCGCAGCCAGTAGAAGGAGGAATATACAGTGTTAAAATTACCGCCGATTTATTTCGTGATAGTTTAACTTTAACTGCGACAAGATCAATGCACGAAGCATAAGAACTCGGTAAGGAGATAACACTAGCCGATATTGAAATGAGAAACTTAAAAGAATGGGTGCTGTTACTGTTGACGAAACGTAACAAAACATTTTGGATGAACGTACGGTATATCTACAAACTGTCTTAAAGTCAACCCAATGGTCTCTAATTTAGTTATACGTGTTTTTAAAATGGTAAAATGGGTTTTTTATAAGCCAAATTACGTTTGAGACATTTTCGTTGGAAATAGTACTGAGCATCGGCGATGTGTTTCGACACTGTGGACCCAAATACCATAATAACCTAAAATGTTTCATTTAATTTAGAATTACATACCAAAATTATGAATAGCAATAAACGAACCATCTTTATATCGTCAATGAATCCCATATTGACTGAACAGATTCTGGAAGCAAAATCAGTCCTATCTTAGTAACTACCAGCCAGGTCCATCCACCTTTTATTTTTTTAGAAGTTCTATCATTTGCCAAAATCATTTTTGTTTTGCTCACCTTCGCCGTTTTCATCGTAGCGATTTTATTTCTGTTCAGTATAAGATCCACCTTTCATTCAACTAAATTTCGAAAATAGTTGAAAATGCTCGAAAATGTCAAAAGTGCCAAAATCAGTTTTAACTTATCAAATACTAGTCCCGCCCATCCGCCGTCTATTTTCTTCGAAGGTACACCATTTGCCAAAATCAGTCTTATCTTAGTAAGTACTAGCCCCACCCACCCGCCCTCTATTTTCTTGGAGGGTATGTCATTTGCCAAATTTAGTC